AGAAGAAGGTGACACAAGCAACTAAATTATTAGGTCGCTCAGGTATCTAGACCCGTCCCTCGTAACTATCTCCAGGAGTGAGATGCTTCCCCGCCTGGAGTACTGCCACCCCGCCAAGTCCGGGTCCCCGAGATATGCTCGGGACAGTTAGTTCATTGAAAATGTCCAAATGAGGGCCACCAGACTGGTGCCTGCACTTCGGTACCTTTGCTACCCAGAGAGATTAGAGCGCCTGCAACTGCCTAGATTATACTTCAAACGGGCAAGCGGGGATCTAATTGAGTTGTATAAACATCTCAAAGGGCACTACTCAGTCGAGCGTCCATACCTGGAGCTGGCGGACGCTCTCCCCATAAGGGGTCACAGCTCAAGCTTGAAGAAGCCGCAAGTCCAGAAAACTGCGAGGGCAAACTTTTTCGGGATGAGAGTTGTGAACTCTTGGAACAATCTACCAGAAAGTGTTGTGACGGCACCGAGTGTGAGCTCTTTCAAGACCAGACATGACCAGCACTGGAGGAGGTTCAGTTACATTTAGGAATCAGGAGCTAGTGCTTGCCTACGATACACCACAACGCAGGAACAATCTCCTTCACTAGTGCGTTTACAAGGGCTCGTCAGATTTTGTGCAGTGTGGCAGCGCTATCTTTGTAGTAGTAAACATATTATGGAATCAAATTAAAACAATTTTAAAACAAATATCTCAAAGATACTGATTATTTTAAATGTTTATAAGACGATCCTCTGTAAACGCACTAGCGAAGAGGACTGCACATCACAACACAGGTACACCACAACGCAGGTACATTACAACACAGGTACACCACAACACAGGTACATTACAACAGGTACACCACAACACAGGTACATCACAGGTACACTAAAACACAGGTACATTACAACACAGGTACACCACAACACAGGTACATTACAACACAGGTACACCACAACACAGGTACACCACAACACAGGCACACTAAAACACAGGTACACTACAACACAGGTACACTAAAACACAGGTACACTGCAACACAGGTACACCACAACACAGGTACACTAAAACACAGGTACACCACAACACAGGCACACTAAAACACAGGTACACTACAACACAGGTACACTAAAACACAGGTACACACAAAACACAGGTACACAACACAGGTACACCACAACACAGGTACACTAAAACACAGGTACACCACAACACAGGCACACTAAAACACAGGTACACTACAACACAGGTACACTAAAACACAGGTACACTAAAACACAGGTACATCACAACACAGGTACACTAAAACACAGGTACACCACAACACAGGCACAGGTACACTGGCAACACAGGTACACTACAACACAGGTAATATCGCAACACAGGTATACCACAACGCAGGTACACTCAAAACACAGGTACATCACAACACAGGTACACTACAACACAGGTACACTACAACAAAGGTACACTAAAACACAGGTACACTACGACACAGGTACATCACAACACAGGTACACTAAAACACAGGTACACCACAACACAGGCACACTAAAACACAGGTACACTACAACACAGGTACACTAAAACACAGGTACACTGCAACACAGGTACACTAAAACACAGGTACACTAAAACACAGGTACACTACAACACAGGTACACTACAACACAGGTACACTAAAACACAGGTACACTACAACAGGTACACCACAACACAGGTACACTACAACACAGGTAACACTACAACACAGGTACACTACAACACAGGTACACTACAACACAGGTACACTACAACACAGGTACACTACAAACAGGTAGGCCACTTCACAAACACAGGTACACTACAACACAGGTACACCCCACAACACAGGTACACTACAACACAGGTACACTAAAACACAGATACACTACAAAGGTTATGTACACCACAACACACAGGTACACCACAACACAGGTACACTGCAACACAGGTACACACAACACAGGTACACCACAACACAGGTACACTACAACACAGGTGGGCTACTCCACAACACAGGTACACTACAACACAGGTACACACCACAACACAGGTACACTAAACACAGGTACACCACAACACAGGCACACTACATCACAAACACAGGTACACTCACATCACAACACAGGTACATTACAACACAGGTACACTCACAACACAGGTACACACACAAACATATGTACACTACAACACAGGTATACATCACAACACAGGTACATCACAACATAGGTAGCACTACAACATAGGTAACACTACAACACAGGTACACTACAACACAGGTACATCACAACACAGGTACATCACAACATAGGTACACCACAACATAGGTACACTACAACACAGGTACACTACAACACAGGTACACTACAACATAGGTACACCACAACATAGGTACACCACAACATAGGTACACTACAACACAGGTACACTACAACACAGGTACACTACAACATAGGTACATCACAACATAGGTACACCACAACATAGGTACACTACAACACAGGTACACTACAACACAGGTACACTACAACACAGGTAATAATTACAACACAGGTACATCACAAATATAGGGTATATCACAAATATAGGTACATCTACAACATAGGCAATACTCAACACAGGTACATCACAACATAGGTAATATTCACAACATACAGGTACACTCACAACATAGGTACACTACAACACAGGTATACTACAACATAGGTACATTCACAAATATAGGTACACTACAACATAGGTACACTACAACACAGGTACATCACAACATAGGTACACCACAACCCAGGTACACTACAACACAGGTACATCACAACATAGGTACACTACAACACAGATACACTACAACACAGGTACACTACAACACAGGTACATCACAACATAGGTACACTACAACACAGATACACTACAACACAGGTACACTACAACACAGGTACACTACAACACAGGTACACTACAACACAGGTACATCACAACATAGGTACACTACAACACAGATACACTACAACACAGGTACACTACAACACAGGTACATCACAACATAGGTACACTACAACACACAGATACACTACAACACAGGTACACTACAACACAGGTACACTACAACACAGGTACACTACAACACAGGTACATCACAACATAGGTACATCACAACATAGGTACACTACAACATAGGTACACTACAACACAGGTACATCACAACATAGGTACACTACAACACAGGTACACTACAACATAGGTACACTACAACACAGGTACATCACAACATAGGTACACCACAACATAGGTACACTACAACATAGGTACACTACAACACAGGTACATCACAACATAGGTACACCACAAGCATGGGTACATCACAACATAGGTACACCACAACCCAGGTACACTACAACACAGGTACACTACAACACAGGTACACTACAGCACAGGTACATCACAACACAGGTACATCACAACATAGGTACATCACAACATAGGTACACCACAACCCAGGTACACTACAACACAGGTACACTACAACACAGGTACACTACAGCACAGGTACATCACAACACAGGTACATCACAACATAGGTGCATAGCAACACAGGTAAACCACAATCCAGGTACATCAGAACAGTTACTTGACTGTACACCATTCACCTTGCTACACGCAGTACACTTTAAGCATTTACATGTACGATGACCTGAGGTTCCGAGTTGGTCCCCTGGGGCCGGTGGAGTTTGTGAACACCGGCGATGGTCCCGTGGTGGATTTTTAGGGTAACACGTCATGTAGGGAGACAAATACTTCAATTAATGACTAATGATGTGGTTAATACTCTCCTGTAGGGAGGCTCTTCCACGGGGCGACGGGATGGTAGAGGTGAGGGGATCCTCCTTGGAGCAGAGACAAAGAGTGTAAACAACTACAGTAAATAAGTAAGTGACGCAACACGGATGTAAGGAAAAAGTCACAGAACAAAAGTCACAATGTATATATTTGTCTACAAATTAGTTTATTTAGGGGTTATTATGCAGAGAATATATTTTTTTTTGCTTATTTATCTGACCCATCCGCAGTGTTCGTCAAGATAGTATTTCTTAAACTGAAAGGTAAATTGTTGAATCATCTTTTTTTAAGGTTAATATTATAATCATTCTCAATGCAAGAATACACATAATTGACTTACTAATTATTGAAAATAGTAAAATAAAAACAGGTTGAATAATCATTCAGATTTGCCTGGCGAGGGGGCTAGTTTATTGGGCACCCCCTTTCATCCTGTGCAGTGTGCAAGGCGAAAGGGCGTTTACAGCGCCCAACAGGGAAGTATGCTGAATTCATGCTTGCATTCGTGATTCATGCAATAAGGTTATTGAGTAAAATGTGATATCTAAGAAATGCATAACCAGTAACAGAAATATAGCATTTTTATACAGTTATGATCCTTAACATTCCCACAACGGTCACTTAGGTAAGATCACGATCACTCCAGCTGAGGGAGGACAGGGTGATAACACCTTCACAAAATATCCAAACATTCACAAGTGGCTGAACCACCTGGTCTTTATCCACAGCCAATCACTCGCTTTCCTAATAGGCCACCAATGACCTCTAATTGTCCGAGGATCAAAATCTCTATATAAGCAGTGACCGCGACGGAAGCTCTCAGTTTGACCTGACCCACCGCCAGGCTCGTGTCTCCGCACCTGACCTCGTCATTTCCCAAGCTAAAGCTCGTGAAGTTGGAGGAAATTTGGAGTAAAAAAGATTATTAATGCAAGAATTGGATACTCAGACTCTTGGTAACTACAAGCAGCAATTAAACTTACTTCATCACATCCTGACGAAGGCTTGGATGGTGGAATATCCCCTACCGCCGTCGTGGCGGACTGCCGGAGATGCCATGAGCTTGATGAGTGAGAGAGTGATGTGCAACGTTGAGGGTGGAGCACCCTGGCCGACTACAGTCCCATATAATGCAAGTGAGCCTCCCAACTTCACCATGGCGACGGACAGCAATTCTTTCTCCTCACCGCATCACCAGGATGTCCACTCGGCAACGACTCAATTTGCGTCAAATGAAAAACAAGCTGTTCTCAGAAGGCCGTATGCTGCTTTGAAGAATGTTAAAACTGAAGAAGTGCTCACGCAAGCAGTGCCAGAAATTTCTTTTCAGGGCCTTCATGACACTTCCACATTGGCATTATGTCAAACACCACCTGTCAACGACGCTAGTAAGCTGCAAAAAATAACGATTCATCCAAGTGCTTCAGCGAGGCGCATCTTTCGCCGTGGTAACAGCTACGAACCTTTGTTAGCAGAGAACCCCCAACACCGCCGTCGGCGTCAGGCTGCCAATGCCCGTGAACGCAAAAGGATGACCAATCTCAACGTGGCATTCGACCGTCTTCGTGCTACTTTACCGTCCACCAGCCACAAACTCTCCAAACATGACACTCTACAGATGGCGCTCTCTTATATCTCAGAACTGCACAGTTTGCTCGACTCGTAATAATCTAATAGTGGAGGTTGCTTTAAAATATTGTTCAGATTCTAAAGTGTTTTACTTTGATCTTAGTTGTCAGTACAGGCTAAGTAATTCGTAACCATATAGCTTCATTTATATTACTTCTGAAGCTCTAGTCATTAAATGTATATCAGTCCAATTTCATTACTGTTTCACAATGAATAATTAATTGTATCAATCTTTTGTCTTCAAGCTTAGGGATTCGCATCCCCTCTCACCCCCCACCATCTGTCCTGCCCACTGCAGCCCTCCTCACTCCCCCACCACCTATCTCATTTTGCCTTAATCAGCATCTTTGTTTGGGTGTATTTCATCCATAAAAATAGTCAATTCTCGGAGATGTTTTAGCAAAATTAAAACATAATAGAGGAAATACTACAATACAGGACAACGACCATGATCAAAATGCACCATTAAGACTATTACAACTTTCAAAGAATTTTCCCCTCCCTCAGTGTCCATTAGTACAGTACAGGTATATGTCCCTCTTCCCTCAACCTTATTGTTCGCTGGATCTACCATCAACTAAAAAGTAATAGATCTGTGACTTATAGTGCATGAGAATTCCAAATCTTGTGTACAGTACATACATTTTTTCTGGAATTCAATTTGTTTGGGCAGCAGAAATGTATTACAGCTCGGCCAATACATATACAATATAATGTGCTGAAGTGCTCTTTCAGCTCTGAATTTGGTGTCCTTTGTGTAAGTGTGCCCCTCGTTTGTAGAATGACTGGGTCGACCTGTCTTAAGTTTTGTAGTTGATTAAAAAAATAAATAAAATTAAACCATATTATTTACCTTCTCCCAAATGTTTGCTTGATACAGAATGAATCCTCCATAAAATGCGTGGAAGTTTATTGTTTTTGTCAATAGCTCGATTAATTGGCAAATATCTGTCAAGTACAGTCCTATCGAACATAAAATAATTTTGTCAACAGCACTATGATTGTACAAACTGCTTTACCTTTATCCCTGAACAAAGGTGTTGACCATAAAGCCTTTTGTACTGGTCTTACAAATCTGTCTTCTGCATGTACAGTCAGCCTAAGATGCACGAACCCCCACCCTGGGTCTCGTGCTCGCAATTTTACCTGGCAATACTTGAAGGAAGGCTGGCTGTATGTAATGGTGATAATGATTGGTGGATTTATTTTCGGCTATATCTGTCAGGATAAATATTAAACAATCCAAAAGTAGCATTTTTACAATAATAAATTATTCATCGTTATTTAAGATCATGACAAGTTTCCAAATATTCGTATATTTGCTTAAATAATGAAGAAATTATATCAATGAATTGGCAACGCAGCTACAACCAGGGCTGCCACGAGATTCTCACATAAAATTTCAAGAATATACAGTATGTTCCACATTTAATCTTGAGTGTTTCATGAAGGAATTAATTGTCTTTACAACGTGAGCATTACATAATATATTTTGACGTAAGCTGAAGGGCAGACACTGTAATACTCATTTGTCAGTCACGACATTGTATCTTCGTCGTATATTACAGTTCTCAGTTCTCAGAGTGTGTATGTGTGTGTGTGTGTTTGTGTGTGTAAATAAATTACATTCGCAATTATGGCAATTATAACACGAATTATATGTGAAGTGTATGCTATTAGGAAAATGACGTATCCAAGTGGCAGCTGTTGTATGGAGTTTAATATCTGGTTCCCCTTTGTCGAACTAAAAATCGACAATTATTCGGCATAAGACTGTGTACTCATCATTTTCAATAGTTACCTATCTTATTTATGACGTCAGCATCAGGTTTTACGCCCACCAATCACATATCACTTGGCATGGTCTAATCAACCAATAAGAGCTTGACCGAAGTGTTGTTGTGAATACGGGATAAACAGTAGGCATTACTTCTGTCACCATGAACACGACGCAACAACGCTTAACTACTCGCGACCAAATAATCACCCTCCTAGAAAAAGGCCTTACGGTGCGTGCCACCGCAGACCGACTTGCTGTTTCGACTTCAACTGTGGAGAGGTGGATCAGGAAATATGCCGAAACAGGTATTTTAACTGATTTGGGTATGTATGAAAATTTCAGATTGAATCGGGATATAAACAATATCTAAGATTTGTTTTTATATAAATGATATAATAATGCAAATATTATAATAAAAATGTGATGTTTTTGTTAAAGGTTATGAGTGTATGCCATAACGTTAATGACATACCGGGCTATGACACAGGAGATACAAAAGCAATATTGTGTCTATTTTCAGAAAGAAGATCACGCCCCCGACTGACTACTAGGGATGAGGATGCCGCCATATTAACAGCAATCCGAAACAACCCGTTCTCCAACCCTGTCGCCATCAGAGAGGCGTTACACTTAGTGCACAGACTGTCAGGTCACGTTTGCATGAGGCGGGCATACAACACAGAGTCCCTGCTATAAAGGAACGGCTAACTGACCAACACCGCACTGGTCGCCTCCAGTTTGCCAGCAATATGTGGGGAGGACCTGGAGTTTTGGTCGCGAGTAGTCTTCACGGATGAGAAGACTTTTGCCAGTACTAACCACGGTAAAATTCATTTGTGGCGGCCAAATCGCACGAGGTAAGTAAGCTTAACATATTAACAAATCCTTAACGATTAAAATAAGATTTAGACCGTATTTGTCTATATAGCCGTAAAACATCGAAGAATTCATTATACATTTTCAAATAAAAGTCTTTAAGATTATCGCAAAACATTAAAATTTCTTTTCAAGTATTATACTACAAACTTAATATAAGATGTAATAGCTTAATTAGGCCAATATATTTATATTTGTATCGTATTTTCCCTTCCTGCAGATACGACAGGGCCCACTTATACGAGGTTGCTAGAAGTGGGCATGTGACGCTGAACGTGTGGTGCTACATATCCCTGCACGGTATGGGAGATGTTTTCCAAATTAAGGGGAGGTTAATGGCAAATGAATACCTAGACATCCTGCGGAATCAGTTCCTCCCTTCAATTCAGGAACGCAATTTCCCATTCCCTGCTGGACCAATTACTTTTATTCATGATAGATGCCCCATCCACACAGCCAGAGCAGTGTGTCAGTGTTTGGCGGGCAGCAACACCTCACGCTCTTGGAATTGCCGAGCAAGGGATGCGAAATGAATCCCATTGAAAATATCTGGGCAAGTGTAGTCAATTCCTGGGAGCCCGAGTTTGAGAGGACGCCGAACCAGTTGTTCGACCACGTGACAAGACAGTGGGGGATTTTTTTAAACAAACCTGAGCTTGTTACAAACAACGTATCTTCTATGCAGCGGAGGCTGCAAGCTGTAATTGATATGGAGGGTGGATGGACCCGTTATTAAACAATATTCTGTAAATAATACACCTGTCTATATTTTAATCCTCGAAATAAATAAATATTTTATAAACCTTAAATTTAAATTATGCAATGACAATAAAGCCAGTTGCAATATGATTAAAAAAATAAAAAAAGTGAGTAACAACCCCCCCCAAAAAAGCTATTCAATCCCTTTCTGAGTTCTCATCAACTTTATATAAGTATACTCTGTCATTGACTGACTGTCTGTCTGCCTGTCTCTCTCATTCACTGAGTTATTAATAATAATACCATCAAATGCAGTTAGTAGAACACCAAAATGACCACTTCAGTGTTTTCCCTTCTCCACACATCCATGCGGCACTGGTGCCTGTAGGAATACCACATGCCATTATTGTGTCCGTTGAGTCTATTACAGTGTCTGCTCTTTAAATTACGTCAAATTATATAATATAATACTCACTTTGTAAAGACAATTAATTCCTTCATGAAACACTCAAGATTAAACGTGGAACATACTGTATATTCTTGAAATTTGATGTGAGAATCTGGCAGCCCTGGTTGTAGCTGCGTTGCCAATTCATTGATTTAATTTCTTAATTTTTTAAGCAAATATACTAATATTTAGAAACTTATCATGATCTTAAATAACGATGCATAGTTTATTATTGTTAAAATGTTACTTTTGGATTGCTTCATATTTATCATGACAGTGATACAGCCGAAAATAAATCCACCAATCACAATCACCTTTACATACAGCCTTCTTTCCTTCAAGTATTACCAGGTAAAATTGCGAGCACGGGACCCAGGGTGGGTCGGTGCAGCTTTGGCTGACTATACATACTTTGTACAAAAAATAATAATTTATAGTTATGTACTGTTGTCATAGTCACAAATGCACGGCTAGTATAATCAATACTTAATTATTCATATTATGTTCCACCGTCCACAAAACATGTGTGAAACTAATGAGTTGCTCCGATGAAGACTTGTTTCTCTAGCGAAAGGCACCATCCGTTTTCTCAACGCCCTGAAGTACTTTTACTTTTACTTACTTTTATCCTCTTCACCACTGATCGGCTCGTTAGCCGCTTGGGCGATCGGCCACGTCTCTGTTCACTATTGTTCTTATAAACTTGCTGAATAACAGTTAGCTAAGGAAGAGAGCACCTTTTGCACGCCATCACTAACCTTCAAAATGGCTACTTCAAAATGATTGGCCAGTCAAGTCACATGACACGATACTTGGTTGTCATGTCACAAACAGGAGATAAATGACTCGGGCAACATGGCTGGTACAGACATTTATGCCTAGAAATTTGTAAAATACTCCGTTGATGTTGATTGGCAAAAGAAATTATATTATATATGTGGAGTTTTTTACTCTGTGTCGAACATTGAAAATTGGAAACCTGCCAACAGCCAATGGACGAATACTAACCTCAAGATGTATTGAGTAAATGTTGAAAGAACCATATATCTTTATGTGTAGAGTACTATAGTGTTAAGACGATGTATTTTGAGTTTCCAGCCACCATCTGGAATCAATTTATATTTCGTGTGAAGCTATGCGATGACCATTCAAAATTTAAGTTAGATTTCCTTGATTTGCAGACCTCCGAGAATCCGATGAGTATTAAAATTATTGTCAATTTTGTATTTTCGAT